AATGCTGAAACATCAACCCATGGGAGAGTCAGTGCTGCTAGTTGAACGCCGAACCCATCACTGAGACAATGCTGAAACATCAATCCATAGGAGAGTCAGTGCTGCTAGTTGAACGCCGAACCCTTCACTGAGACAATGCTGAAACATCAACCCATGGGAGAGTCAGTGCTGCTAGTTGAACGCCGAACCCTTCACTGAGACGATGCTGAAACATCAATCCATCGGAGAGTCAGTGCCACATTTTCATTTGTGCCGAAATCAAAATAAAAGACAAGTTCTCTTGTAAATTCGGCAGGATGTGGTGTGAAATAGTATTTTAGAAGTGACATCATTATTTTATTACTTATCGTTAATGCCGTCTTCAGTGTGCTTTGGTGTGCTTATCAATGCACAAGCACCTTTTTTTCCCCACTCGATAAAATTATTGTATTAATATAATACACCAGTTTTACTGCGCATGAAGTTTCAAATGCATTCTGTCATTACTAAATGTATAATGTGATAGGTATTTTACCATGACTATAACACACACACAAAACCAATTTTGATTAATAAAATATTTAATCCGTAGTCTTCCTCAAATGAAGGGGATGACGATACAGTATTTGCGAGACGGAGGGAATCTGATTTGATTGGTCCTCAACTCGCAGAGTTATCCCCGAGTTAGCCTACCCCGGAGCAGGTTAGTTCTGGAGGATTCGTTGTCATAAAAAAATGTACCTGGCTAAAAGGTGAACCACTATCGTGGTACCGCTTATCCCGAGTTGAACTCAGTTGGCCAAAGTTACCTGTCTTAACTCCTCAAACCACGTAAGTAGTATAGGGCTCAGGTGCTCGCCTCCTCCCCTTGCTTCCTACTGAAGTTTTGAGAGGTGACAGAGGCAGGTAGAGGACAGGAGGAAAGGCCATAAAGAGAGAGAGAGCTCTTATGGGATTATTCCAGAACATGTTGAGGCATGGCTGAGAATGTACAGTACGTTGACGTAACCCGAAACCTTGTTCTGTTTTAGAAGCTTTGCCATGACCTGACACACCCGCTCAACCAGGGAGTGCCGGCTCTTTCCATCAGTCCGTCCATACAGAACCCATGTCCACAAAACTGCCGGAGGCCAGAAATCATTCGTCCACACCAGTATCAGTCAATTGAACAAATAACTGCAGAATTTATGAAGTGAATTATGAACAGTATCCACGTGTTGTCTGCTGTAGTTATTGCTTGTGGTTTATGTATGTATTTATGCACTTACAGTGAGGGGAAAAAGTATTTGATCCCCTGCTGATTTTGTACGTTTGCCCACTGACAAAGAAATGATCAGTCTATAATTTTAATGGTAGGTTTATTTGAACAGTGAGAGACAGAATGACAACAAAAAAATCCAGAAAAATGCATGTCAACATTTTTATAAATTGATTAGCATTTTAATGAGGGAAATAAGTATTTGACCCCTCTGCAAAACATGACTTAGAACTTGGTGGCAAAACCCTTGTTGGCAATCACAGAGGTCAGATGTTTCTTGTAATTGGCCACCAGGTTTGCACAGATCTCAGGAGGGATTTTGTCCCACTCCTCTTTGCAGATCTTCTCCAAGTCATTAAGGTTTCGAGGCTGACATTTGGCAACTCGAACCTTCAGCTCCCTCCACAGATTTTCTATGGGATTAAGGTCTGGAGACTGGCTAGGCCACTCCAGGACCTTAATGTGCTTCTTCTTGAGCCACTCCTTTGTTGCCTTGGCCGTGTGTTTTGGGTCATTGTCATGCTGGAATACCCATCCACAACCCATTTTCAATACCCTGGCTGAGGGAAGGAGGTTCTCACCCAAGATTTGACGGTACATGGCCCCGTCCATCGTCCCTTTGATGCAGTGAAGTTGTTCTGTCCCCTTAGCAGAAAAATACCCCCAAAGCATAATGTTTCCACCTCCATGTTTGATGGTGGGGATGGTGTTCTTGGGGTCATAGGCAGCATTCCTCCTCCTCCAAACACGGCGAGTTGAGTTGATGCCAAAGAGCTCTATTTTGGTCTCATCTGACCACAACACTTTCACCCAGTTCTCCTCTGAATCATTCAGATGTTCATTGGCAAACTTCAGACGGGCATGTATATGTGCTTTCTTGAGCAGGGGGACCTTGCGGGCGCTGCAGGATTTCAGTCCTTCATGGCGTAGTGTGTTACCAATTGTTTTCTTGGTGACTATGGTCCCAGCTGCCTTGAGATCATTGACAAGATCCTCCCGTGTAGTTCTGGGCTGATTCCTCACAATTCTCATGATCATTGCAACTCCACGAGGTGAGATCTTGCATGGAGCCCCAGGCCGAGGGAGATTGACAGTTATTTTGTGTTTCTTCCATTTGCGAATAATCGCACCAACTGTTGTCACCTTCTCACCAAGCTGCTTGGCGATGGTCTTGTAGCCCATTCCAGCCTTGTGTAGGTCTACAATCTTGTCCCTGACATCCTTGGAGAGATCTTTGGTCTTGGCCATGGTGGAGAGTTTGGAATCTGATTGATTGATTGATTGCTTCTGTGGACAGGTGTCTTTTATACAGGTAACAAACTGAGATTAGGAGCACTCCCTTTAAGAGTGTGCTCCTAATCTCAGCTCATTACCTGTATAAAAGACACCTGGGAGCCAGAAATCTTTCTGATTGAGAGGGGGTCAAATACTTATTTCCCTCATTAAAATGCAAATCAATTTATAACATTTTTGACATGCGTTTTTCTGGATTTTTGTTGTTGTTATTCTGTCTCTCACTGTTCAAATAAACCTACCATTAAAATTATAGACTGATCATGTCTTTGTCAGTGAGCAAACATAAAAAAATCAGCAGTGGATCAAATACTTTTCCCCCCTCACTGTATGTGGTGATGCTGTGCTGTGGTTTCTTGAGATGCAAAACACATTTCCTGAAAGGGACACAATACAGAAATTATTACTATTATTAAACTGAAGGGAGGGGCTGGAGTGGGACGCACTGAACTCTCGTTATACAAGACCAAAACAAACTAGACTCGACCTGCCAGTGTAAACCACATGTCACCATGGAGACCAAAAAGCAACACACAGACTGATGTCATTGTGGAAGACTATATTTAAAAGACAGTCATTCAGTGGTCACGTCAAAAGGCATTTGTTACATTGAATAAATAAAGAGTTACTTCACTATCAGCATTTACCATACATCCATTACATACACTCATTTTAATTTACTGAAATTAACTGGAGAAGAAAAAACATTATCTAGTCATTTAATACTGACTAATGTAAAATCAGACAGTAAATACACAATCATGGATTAATATAGTCATTATTCAATGTAAAACTACAAAAACATAATCATTCTAGAGAAAAATACATCAAACCCAAATCTGGTCCAAAAGTGCAAACGCATCACTACGATAACTCAGCTGTCACGGCCGCTTCGTATTGAGCGGAGGTATTTGTGTCCAAACCACACTATGGACACATTAGTATTATAATGATAAAAAGGACAGCCTGCATCTAGACTCAGTTTTGAGAGCTTGTCGTGTAAACTCTGCTTCATACAACCCTGTTATATTGAGTATCAAATCCTCAGCAATACTGAGTTTTAGTGATTGTCTATGGCATACCACTGATCACTGTGTCTATGGTATACCACTGATCACTGTGTCTATGGCATACCACTGATCACTGTGTCTATGGCATACCACTGATCACTGTGTCTATGGCATACCACTGATCACTGTGTCTATGGCATACCACTGATCACTGTGTCTATGGCATACCACTGATCACTGTGTCTATGGCATACCACTGATCACTGTGTCTATGGCATACCACTGATCACTGTGTCTATGGCATACCACTGATCACTGTGTCTATGGCATACCACTGATCACTGTGTCTATGGCATACCACTGATCACTGTGTCTATGGCATACCACTGATCACTGTGTCTATGGCATACCACTGATCACTGTGTCTATGGCATACCACTGATCACTGTGTCTATGGCATACCACTGATCACTGTGTCTATGGCATACCACTGATCACTGTGTCTATGGCATCCCACTGATCACTGTGTCTATGGCATACCACTGATCACTGTGTCTATGGCATACCACTGATCACTGTGTCTATGGCATCCCACTGATCACTGTGTCTATGGCATACCACTGATCACTGTGTCTATGGCATACCACTGATCACATCAAATACAGTCAACATTTACATAGTGGAGCTAGGGTGGCTATCTTTTCAAGGCCAGGGAGACCAGCTGATCACATCAATGTCAGTTTACATTTGAGATGAGGGCTTTTAATAGCCTGGGTACATGGCATACCACCGATCACATCAATTACGGTTTACATTTGAGATGAGGGCTTTTAATAGCCTGGGTACATGGCATACCACCGATCACATCAATTACGGTTTACATTTGAGATGAGGGCTTTTAATAGCCTGGGTACATGGCATACCACCGATCACATCAATTACGGTTTACATTTGAGATGAGGGCTTTTAATAGCCTGGGTACATGGCATACCACCGATCACATCAATTACGGTTTACATTTGAGATGAGGGCTTTTAATAGCCTGGGTACATGGCATACCACCGATCACATCAATTACGGTTTACATTTGAGATGAGGGCTTTTAATAGCCTGGCTACCGGTCTGTTGTGCTAGTATTTAGCCAGTCTTGTCATGAGAGCACAGATCTGGGCCCAGTCTGAGCTTTTCACGCCATCTTAGTAAATAAGCTATATAATCCTTTAAACAGGGATAATAAGTTCAGTCATGATTGTTTGACTGACTGTTGAACTGGTTGCCATACAGGACTATATACACACAGACAGAAGATGCAACAAAACGCTTTGAAACAATTCAACTACAGCTTCAGTGTGTCTGTTCTGTAGGTAAAGTATTTAAAAAAAAAAAATTTAATTCAGGAATGCCAAGTGGTCATATGTTGGAAGTCATTTGAGTTCTAGAAGGGGTTCTAGAATGTGGTTCTAGAGTCGGAGCTGTTCCGTGTCTTCTTTGAGTGTTTGCAACTGCCGGGTGTTGGGACCTCCCTCGCGGGTCTGGCCCAGGGAAGATGCGATGACGTCCACCGCCATGGAAGCTGTGATCTCCACCGCCTCACGGCTCGCCCCCAGGGCTGGGTTGACCTCAACAAGGTCCATCACCGACAACAACCCTGGAGATTAAACACAAACAAAATCTATTAGTTTCAGTTCCTTTTGTAGAATGTTGCGGAAAGAAAATGTACTTAAAAGAATGTTGCAATATTGAAATGTTACTTCGTAGATAACTGTTCTTATCGTACCAACAGCATAAGAATATAATCAACTCAAGCAATGCAACTATTCTCGTCCTACCAAGAGTCTGCCATAGCTTAGAGGAAAAGTTTTCAAGTTTAATGACTGAGACATTTCCCCATAATTTCTTATGTTATAGTATTCCTGTGTTATGGGTCATTATAGCGTGCCTGTGTTGTGGATCTCCTCTGTGATCCAGATTCCTTCTCTGTAGGTCAGACCTCCATTTACTGGTGTTCCTGTGGCCGGGGCCAAAGACGGGTCCATTGCATCGATGTCAAAACTCAGATGGATCGGCCGCTGCTTCCTGTTGGACAGAAGAAAACAAGGGTTCAGAATACAGTTCAGCGAATCAATCAACTTTCAACTCAAATTCAACTGTCAACAGAATACATCGAAACTGTCATCTGAATACATCCAAACTGTCATCTGAATACATCGAAACTGTCATCTGAATGCATCCAAACTGTCATCTGAATACATCCAAACTGTCATCTGAATACATCCAAACTGTCATCTGAATACATCCAAACTGTCATCTGAATACATCCAAACTGTCAACTGAATACATGAAACTGTTCAACTGACTTCTCTATGGGGCCTAATGTAATTATGACACAACGAAAGGCTCTGTCATACAGTAAGCTGCTTAGTTAGTCTATAATATTACTCCATAATCTTTTACAGTAATTCAATGACCTTGACAAGAGGTGGTCGAAAGTGACTTCCATGACTCTCTGAATGCCGAGCCTGTCGATGTCTCTCATTGTGAAGTACTGGACACCCAAGTCCTTCAGGATGTCGCTGTGAGGAGAAAGGAGAGTAGACTGTCATGAGGAGGATGTCTGGAAGTGTCTTTAAAAACAGGTGGAATTTTGTGTACAGATACATTTTCATTTCACATTTAAGTCATTTAAACAGACACTCTTATCCAGATCAACTTTCTATCAGAATACAGAAATAGAAAGACGAATGTGTGCAAACCAAGTGACTGTGGTTTACCTGTGAGTCATAACACATTGTCTGTGAGTCATAGCACATTGTTATTAAGTCATATCACATTGTCTGTGAGTCATAGTACATTGTTATTAAGTCATATCACATTGTCTGTGAGTCATAGCACATTGTTATTAAGTCATATCACATTGTCTGTGAGTCATAGTACATTGTTATTAAGTCATATCACATTGTCTGTGAGTCATAGTACATTGTTATTAAGTCATATCACATTGTCTGCAGGTCATAGCAAATTGTCTGTAAATCATATCACATTGTCTGTAAATCATATCACATTTCTGTAAGCCATATCACATTGTCTGTAAGTCATAGCAGTCACTGTGGTATACTGTAGGCTTGGGCGATACCCCACGGTATATTTAGAAATGCTGATGGTATGATTTTTCAATACTGTTTAAAAATGTGTTTTTCTTTGTGGGGGGGGTGGGGCTTCACTGGGGCCTCACTGGGGCTTCACTGGGGCCTCACTGGGGCTTCACTGGGGCTTCACTGGGGCCTCACTGGGGCTTCACTGGGGCTTCACTGGGGCTTCACTGGGGCTTCACTGGGGCTTCACTGGGGCTTCACTGGGGCCTCACTGGGGCTTCACTGGGGCTTCACTGGGGCTTCACTGGGGCTTCACTGGGGCTTCACTGGGGCTTCACTGGGGCCTCACTGGGGCTTCACTGGGGCTTCACTGGGGCTTCACTGGGGCCTCACTGGGGCTTCACTGGGGCTTCACTGGGGCTTCACTGGGGCTTCACTGGGGCTTCACTGGGGCTTCACTGGGGCTTCACTGGGGCTTCACTGGGGCAGTGGGGTGCGTGCTACCAGGGGTCTAGCGTTGCCGGAGCGCGGAGGAGCGGCACTCCCTTACTTTTTTTCCAATTTGACTCGAGAATACATCAATTCTATTAAATGATCACTAAAATTCAATGAAAACCTACAGAATGACAAACCAAATCACTCTGTACAGCAGCCTGGAGGTACATGGTGGGTTCCTCCCTGTCTTCTCTCTGACGGTGGCCATAATGATAACCAACTATTAGGCTACCTGTGTGCACTGCGGAGGCCCATCGGAATCTCTTGACCACTTTGGCCAAATCAGAGGGGGAAAAAAATTGGAATTCACCGTGTGTCGGACTTGAGGATGCTCATAAAAACGGCACATACCTCTCTCTGCTCTTACCCAGTGGAGCCCAGAACAATGTGTGACCACTTGGTTAAGGCGACACCGTTTTGCATAGGACCTCCAAACCCAGAGTGACCACCGCTAAGTCCAAGGAACTCTCTGGAATTACTGTAGCCCTGCTTGGGATAATGGGCCTTTAAAATGTAAATGTAATATTTAGCCTATATTGGCTATTGGTTGAGACCCAGGGTCCATTCTATCTTGGTATGTCAGGGTGGGCAATTGGAAATGTGAATTGGGCCAGTTTGGAGTTAATAATGTATTTATACTGAACAAAAATATAAAAACGCAACATGCAACAATTTCAAAGATTTTACTGAGCAACAGTTCATATAAGGAAATCAGTCAATTTAAATAAATAAATTAGGCCCTAATCTGTGAATTTCACATGACTGGGAATACAGATATGCATCTGTTGGTCACAGATCCACTACCATGAAAAGTATGTGGACACCTGCTCACCAACAACCTTGCGACATGGGGCCGTGCATTATCATGCTGAAACATGAGGTGATGGTGGGGGATGAATGGCACGACAATGGGCCTCAAAACTTGAGACATCTTTGGCATTGTGTTGTGTGACAAAACTGCACATTTTAGAGTGGACTCAAGATTCCTCAACTAGGCCACAGGATATATGCTTTGATTGAAACAAAATATAAGACTAATAGTTTGATAACACCCTCTTCTCTAATCCGCTCACGAAACAGTAATTCTAGTTGATCTAAATGCATATTGTATGGAGAGAAAAAAAAAATATATATATAATGTATGCACTCACTAACTGTAAGTCGCTCTGGATAAGAGCGTCTGCTAAATGACTAAAATGTAAAATGTAATATTCCCATGAAACTGATTGAGATCAATCAACTGATTGGCATACAGCAACACATTGAGATGCAGTCTGGTATGACATAAAAAATTATCATTCAGTTTGGACGGTAAAACATAAAAAATTATCATTCCGTTTGGACGGTAAAACATGAAGAATTATCATTCCGTTTGGACGGTAAAACATGAAGAATTATCATTCCGTTTGTCACGATTGACAGTGATGATGGCCTATTTTGAAATGAGGTATCCTATGCCTCACTTGAGGGTATTACAAATTGACATTTGTCTTTAGACAATAGCCTATGTGTGGTCATAGGCAGACGTTGCAATTGGAGGACACATTTTTCGATGCATAGTCTATAATGATAGGCTATTAAATAGGCTGCATCTGTCGGTACAAACTTTGACGAAATTATGACGTCATAAATAAATAAAAATCGCGCTCCCTCACCTAAAACAATAGCTCTACACCACTGCTTATAACTATAAGTTAAGTATAACTATAAGAAATCTAAAGATGTGTCAAATACATTCTATCCAGCTCAGGGCTCCAGCTATGTGTGTTTGGTTTGCTAACTTGCTAGCTAAGTGGCTAGCTGTCAAGATCAAGCACCTTGGTTACAGCAGAGACATTCAGTCCCCTCCTGGACAGAGGTCTGAGTACCAGACTATATAGCTAATGTGCCACTCCTTGTTATTCCCAAAGATACTGCTTTTGGCAATCTCAACATTCAATATGCACTGGATTTACAGCGGAGTTGCTCATTGGTTGTCGGAAATAACATTAATATTTTCCATGACAACATGTGGAGCCTCAAATAGAATTAGAATTTATAACAAAGTAAAAAACAAACGTTTAGAAAAAAAAAGTGATAGGGTTCCAATATTTGCATAATCGTTGTGATTGGAGGATAGCTGGGAGGGTGATCGAATCAGGATCAAATCCTCTGTTCTCCTCGAGCTCATTAATGATAGAATGTTCATATTTAAAGACGGCAGAAAGGCCAGTCTCTTTGGTAATTTTTTTTTACATTTACATTTTAGTCATTTTAGCAGACGCTCTTATCCAGAGCGACTTACAGTTAGTGAATACATATTTTTTTATACTGGCCCCCCGTGGGAATCGACCCCACAACCGTGGCGTTGCAAACGCCATGCTCTATCAACTGAGCTACATCCCTGCCGGCCATTCCCTCCCCTACCCTGGACAACGCTGGGCCAATTGTGCGTCGCCCATGAGTCTCCCGGTCGCGGCCGGCTGCGACAGAGCCTGGATTCGAACCAGGATCTCTAGTGGCACAGTTAGCACTGCGATGCAGTGCCTTAGACCACTGCGCCACTCAGGAGTAATGACATGGACTACAGGAAGTGGATTATCTAAAGAGACTGGTAACCAGGCTAAACAGGAAGTGGATTATCTAAAGAGACTGGTAACCAGGCTAAATCAAGATCCCTGTTGCCTAAATTGTTTTGTGTGTAAAAAAAAGTTCCCCTTGTGTGCACTTCCGGTAATACCATATACCCCGGTATGGTACAGAGACGGTATGACGGTATGAACATCTGGATACTGCCCAACCCTAATATACTGTGGTGTGACTGTGGTGTGTGGTTGTGCTACCTAGCTACCTTTAGTTGAATGCACCAACTGTAAGTCACTCTGGATAAGAGCGTCTGCTAAATGACTCAAATGTGACTAAAAATTCAAAAAGGCACATCTGAGTTATCTTTGTTGCAGGTGCCATGGTAACAGTTGAATAAGATGAGAAAAAATAAGAAACCCGCTCACTGCTCTCGATGGTATCACTGCTCTCGATGGTATCACTGCTCTCGATGGTATCACTGCTCTCGATGGTATCACTGCTCTCGATGGTATCACTGCTCTGGATAGTATCACTTTTCTCGATAGTATCACTGCTCTGGATAGTATCACTGCTCTCGATAGTATCACTGCTCTCGATAGTATCACTGCTCTCGATAGTATCACTGCTCTCGATAGTATCACTGCTCTGGATAGTATCACTTTTCTCGATAGTATCACTGCTCTCGATAGTATCACTGCTCTCGATAGTATCACTGCTCTGGATAGTATCACTGCTCTGGATAGTATCACTTTTCTCGATAGTATCACTGCTCTCGATAGTATCACTTTTCTCGATAGTATCACTGCTCTCGATAGTATCACTGCTCTCGATAGTATCACTGCTCTGGATAGTATCACTTTTCTCGATAGTATCACTGCTCTCGATAGTATCACTGCTCTCGATGGTATCACTGCTCTCGATGGTATCACTGCTCTCGATGGTATCACTGCTCTCGATAGTATCACTGCTCTCGATGGTATCACTGCTCTCGATGGTATCACTGCTCTCGATGGTATCACTGCTCTCGATAGTATCACTGCTCTCGATGGTATCACTGCTCTCGATAGTATCACTGCTCTCGATAGTATCACTGCTCTCGATAGTATCACTGCTCTCGATGGTATCACTGCTCTCGATGGTATCACTGCTCTCGATGGTATCACTGCTCTCGATAGTATCACTGCTCTCGATGGTATCACTGCTCTCGATGGTATCACTGCTCTCGATGGTATCACTGCTCTCGATGGTATCACTGCTCTTTATTAAGCTTTACGTATCGGCCTCAAGGCCATGTAAAATGTAATGTAATGTGTTTTAACTGTGTTTTAACCCAGAGTAGTGTACTTGACAGTGCACAGAGTCGTGCACAGAGTAGTGTACTTACTACTCTCCAGGGTCGACGTCTCTCAGGCCGATGTAGACCAGGTCCTTAGCTGAATGGAAGGGCTTCATCCAGCTGAACCCTGGCAGCTCTGGCATCTACAGACACAACAACAACAACAACAACAGAAACAACAACAGGTAACAGGTCAGTATCAGAGGGAGAGCAGTAAGGCTGTTGTGAGAATATAGCCTGGTATCCAGATCTGTATAGCCAACTCTATGGTCACTGAGGCTGTAGTGAGAATATAGCCTGGTATCCAGATCTGTATAGCCAACTCTATGGTCACTGAGGCTGTAGTGAGAATATAGCCTGGGTCCCAGATCTGTATAGCCAACTCTATGGTCACTGAGGCTGTTGTGAGAATATAGCCTGGTATCCAGATCTGTATAGCCAACTCTATGGTCACTGAGGCTACGGGGGGAGCACTTGGACATAGCACCTTCATTTGAAACCCCCAGACTTCCGGTGGCTACCCAGGTAACCAGAGGCGTAAGCATGGCCTGGGGTTAGGGATCAGGCTAGTAAGAATGCATGCCATGTCTAACTAACTCCTCTGTCATCTTACCTTGTTCTGCAGCTCTTTGAGCATGAAGGCCACCGACTGTCCGTGGAGGTTCCCCGAGGGCGAGGTGAGGGGCGTGTTTATGTCAGCGTGGGCGTCGACCCAGATCAGACACAGGTCAGGACACTGCTGGGCGTGGCCTTCCACTGAACCAATGGCCAGGCTGCGAGGGGAGTGATCAGGAAGTGGGTTAGACTCCAATCACCGTTATTAATACATTTCGATTACATTTAATGCATTCTGTGTTCTCTATTCCCCCCAGGGCACACACTGACTGTGTCACTGTTGTTGAGAAACCGGTTGAGCAGCCCACTGATAAACCTACTCTCGCTATGTCTAGGGTCCTAAGCCTGCCTCGTGCTTCATTTCCTAACACTGTCAATGTTGACAGTCCTATAAGTCGCTGTTGCTGTAATAACCATACTGTCTTGGTTCTCTGAGAACATGAAGGTGTTGTTGTGGTGTGTACCTGTGGTCTCCTCCCAGCACGATGGTAGTGTGTCCGGCTCCCACAGCGTTGCTGACGGCACTTGACAGCAGTTTGTTAGCTCTGCCCACAGTGCGAGGGAAGGGGACGTGCATGTAGGGATCGTCCTTCCAGATGCTGGAAGCTCAGGTCTCCCAGTCATGCATGGGTAATCTGCAGAGGAATAAAAGGTATGTTAGATGCATCTGCCCTGGCTCTCCTATCATCTCTGATGTCCAACTCTCTACTGGTTCTTAAACCCTCTCTGATCTCTCTGATGTCCCCTCCACGGTCACACACCCTCCCTATCATTCTGATGTCCAAACCCTCTACCCTGGTTCCCTCACAACCCTCTCCTATCATCTTGAGGTCCAACCCTCTCTACCCTGGTTCTTCACCCCTCTCCTATCATCTTGTGTCAACCCCTCTACCTGGTTCTCTTCACACACCCCTCTCCTATCATCTCTGGTGTCCAACCCTCTCTACCCTGGTTCTCTTCAAACACCTTCTATCATCTCTGTGTCCAACCCTCTCTACCGGTCTCTCACAACCCCTCTCCTATCATTCTGTGTCCAACCCCTCTACCTGGTTCTCTTCACACACCCTCTCTATCATCTCTGATGTCCACCCCCTCTACCCTGGTTCTTTCACACACCCCTCTCCTATCATCTCTGATGTCCAACCCCCTCTACCCTGGTTCTCTTCACACACCCTCTCTATCATCTCTGATGTCCAAACCCACTCTACCTGTTCTCTTCACACACCCCTCTCCTATCATCTCTGATGTCCAACCCCCTCTACCCTGGTTCTCTTCACACACCCCTCTCCTATCATCTCTGATGTCCAACCCCCTCTACCCTGGTTCTCTTCAACACCCTCTCTATCATCCTGATGTCCAACCCCTCTACCTGGTTCTCTTACACACCCTCTCCTATCATCTTGATGTCCAACCCCCTCTACCCTGGTTCTCTTCACACACCCCTCTCCTATCATCTCTGATGTCCAACCCCCCTCTACCCTGGTTCTCTTCACACACCCCTCTCCTATCATCTCTGATGTCCAACCCCCTCTACCCTGGTTCTCTTCACACACCCCTCTCCTATCATCTCTGATGTCCAACCCCCTCTACCCCTGGTTCTCTTCACACACCCCTCTCCTATCATCTCTGATGTCCAACCCCTCTACCCCTGGTTCTCTTCACACACCCCTCTCCTATCATCTCTGATGTCCAACCCCCTCTACCCTGGTTCTCTCACACACCCCCTCTCCTATCATCTTGATGTCCAACCCCTCTACCCTGGTTCTCTTCACACACCCCTCTCCTATCATCTCTGATGTCCAACCCCCCTCTACCCCTGGTTCTCTTCAACACCCCCTCTCCTATCATCTCTGGTGTCCACCCCCTCTACCCTGGTTCTCTTCACACACCCCTCTCCTATCACTATGATGTCCAACCCCCTCTACACCTGGTTCTTTCACACACCCTCTCCTATCATCTTGATGTCCAACCCACTCTACCCTGGTTCTCTTCACACACCCCCTCCTCCTATCATCTCTGATGTCCAACCCCCCTCTACCCTGGTTCTCTTCACACACCCCTTCCTATCATCTCTTGATGTCCAACCCACTCTACCCTGGTTCTCTTCACAACCCTCTCCTATCATCTCTGATGTCCAACCCCCTCTACCCTGGTTCTCTTCACACACCCCTCTCCTATCATCTCTGATGTCCAACCCCCCCTCTACCCTGGTTCTCTTCACACACCCCTCTCCTATCATCTCTGGTGTCCAACCCCCTCTACCCTGGTTCTCTTCACACACCCCTCTCCTATCATCTCTGATGTCCAACCCCCTCTACCCTGGTTCTCTTCACACACCCCTCTCCTATCATCTCTGATTGACGAGGCGGAGTCGTTCAAGCGCTGGAACCGCTGTCTGTCTGACTGGGCACTACTTTCCATGTGTGTCCTCTCAGGTTTCTCCCCGACCAGATCACCCCTTGCTACCACGGCAACGGCACAGTAAACAGAGGAATTTCTCCAGAAAGTAGGGTCCACCCACACTGCTGTTAATTAAACAAGAAATTTGAGACGCCATTTATAGGCGACGATGTTCCACTTGATAGGGGTGTAGTGTTACTCTGCTGGTCGGGAGGGGACCAATGTGGTACCCCGTTACCATCTAAGGCAGGGACGGGCAACTCCAGTCCTCGGGGGCCAGAGTGGTGTCACACCTTTTTCACCATCCCTAGCCAACGCAGCTGATTAAACTAATTGCATTCTAAACTGAAGATCGTGATTATTTGATTATTGGAGTCAGGTGAGTTAGCTGGGGCTGGGGCTAAAGTGTGACAACCAATCAGGCCCCTGGGGACTGGAATTGCCCTCCATGATGGAAGACACCCCCATGTTATCGTCTTAGACCCCTGGACAGGAATAGCTCAACACACTGCCTCTCTGTTCATGTAATCATGATCTAATATTTTTTAACTTGACGCAATGTCAGTGATATTTAATGCAGTTGATAGGGATAGAGTTCCCCTCTTGGCAAGTGCACAATGTCTGATCATCTCAGCTATAAAAGAGGATACCATTTCTAGTCTCCCTGTTGCCAAATTGGCATCAGCGAAAGTTAGGCTATTTACTTTCCATACTTTCGTTTTTTAATAAACTGCCCATTTTAGCAGTTTGAAGTCCACTTTTACAGACAACTAAAATAGCACCATATGTGCATGCTTGGGCCCAGCAGGAGATGTCCAAAGCAGTTGAGCCCCAAGCTCTCTATAGAATTAGACTATGGGATTTACATGACACAGCTGGACTAAGATTACAGTGACATGAGCAGGCTAAGATTACAGTGACATGAGGCGTGACTACGATTACAGTGCATGAGCTGGACTAAGATTACAGTGACACGAGCCGGGCTAAGATTACAGTGACATGAGCCGGGCTAAGATTACAGTGACACGAGCCGGGCTAAGATTACAGTGACACGGGCCGGGCTAGGATTACAGTGACATGAGCCGGGCTAAGATTACAGTGACACGAGCCGGGCTAAGATTACAGTGACATGAGCCGGGCTAAGATTACAGTGACACGAGCCGGGCTAAGATTACAGTGACATGAGCCGGGCTAAGATTACAGTGACACGAGCCGGGCTAAGATTACAGTGACATGAGCCGGGCTAAGATTACAGTGACACGAGCCGGGCTAAGATTACAGTGACACGAGCCGGGCTAAGATTACAGTGACACGAGCCGGGCTAAGATTACAGTGACACGAGCCGGGCTAAGATTACAGTGACACGAGCCGGGCTAAGATTACAGTGACACGAGCCGGGCTAGGATTACAGTGACACGAGCCGGGCTAAGATTACAGTGACATGAGCCGGGCTAGGATTACAGTGACACGAGCCGGGCTAAGATTACAGTGACACGAGCCGGGCTAAGATTACAGTGACACGAGCCGGGCTAAGATTACAGTGACACGAGCCGGGCTAGGATTACAGTGACACGAGCCGGGCTAAGATTACAGTGACACGAGCCGGGCTAAGATTACAGTGACATGAGCCGGGCTAGGATTACAGTGACATGAGCTGGACTAAGATTACAGTGACATGAGCTGGACTAAGATTACAGTGACATGAGCCAGGCTAAGATTACAGTGACATGAGCTGGACTAAGATTACAGTGACATGAGCCGGGCTAAGATTACAGTGACATGAGCCGGGCTAGGATTACAGTGACACGAGCCGGGCTAAGATTACAGTGACATGAGCCGGGCTAGGATTACAGTGACACGAGCCGGACTAAGATTACAGTGACATGAGCTGGACTAAGATTACAGGGACACAAACCGGACTAAGATTACAGGGACACAAGCCGGACTAAGATTACAGGGACACGAGCAGGGGCTAAGATTACAGAGACATGAGCCGGGCTAGGATTACAGTGACATGAGCCAGGCTAAGATTACAGTGACATGAGCTGGACTAAGATTACAGGGACACAAACCGGACTAAGATTACAGGGACACGAGCCGGGCTAAGATGACTGGAACATGACTTGCACATTCCAGAACTGAATTACATTTACATTACATTTTAGTCATTTAGCAGACGCTCTTATCCAGAGCGACTTACAGTTAGTGCATAATTTTTTTTTTTTTCATACCCCCTGTGGGAATCAAACCCACAACCCTGGCGTTGCAAACGCCATGCTCTATCAACTGAGCTACATCCCTGGTATACCCAATCTGGTATATGATTTGCCTCCTATACATTGTCTATTGATATCATTTTAAATTGAGAACATATAGCTCAACATGTATCTTAATTTGAAGTGAATGCTTTATTATGAGATTGTGTGTGTCTGAGAAATAGCCATTCTCTGGGACATCCCAGTCCTCATTATTTATGACCTGATAATAATCCATTGGTTTAGAAGTGGAACCATCTTGTCTGACGAAATGAATGTGCATCTTTGCTCAGACCGGTCCATAGTCTCCCTAGGCAGACATGGTTGCCTCCCACATTAACAATGTTTCTAGATTAACCAGCTAACTGATGCTTTGACATGGCCTGTTTTGCTGATAAATAGACGTTCAATGGGGGATTCCTAGCCTATGCTGATGGGTTTCTCTTCTCACAATTAGGATCTGACCATTATATGTTATGTAAGACCTGATCATAAACACAATTGGTTTAGAAGTGGCAGCATCTTGTCTGACGAAATTTGTGTGCCTACTTGCTCAGATTGGTCCATAGTCGGAAACAAATAGGCAGTGGTGGACAAAGGGAAGGCTACAATGGGAGGAGAGAACTTGCTTTTCGGGATTGGTTGATTGCGTAACTGACTGTTCAGTGACGACAGCAGACTTGCCCATTCTTTCTCGCACTTGTGACTCAATAAAACCGTTATTTTAACGTTTTAAATGACAAGAACTTAATCCTTTTAGATTAAAAATTCAATGTTGATCGCCAGCATTCAAGGTCTGAACAATCCCTGTGGTTGTTTTCTTTGTTTGACAAAATTAGATAATAGCCATTTATGTTAAAGACTGATGTAACACATAGCCTATAGCCCAATGCTTTACTTCCGAGAACTGAAGGACTTTGGGAAGCAGCTCTTGCATGAATCATTAACCTATTTTAGGGTTAGAATTAGTATTTTAGTCCAACGGTACATTTAGCAGTTTGTTCTAACACATGAATAAGATTTTACATCACTTACCCAGATTTGAAAGTCTCTCGATCAGACCGGCATCCCTGATGGCTTTGGGTCCATGTTCCACCCCTCTCCTTTTCTAAAAGAAAACCAGTCAAGTTCAATCATTCTGGTAAACGAAATACCCTAATCAAATAGCCATATTAAACGAATGGCTTCTATTAGGATATTCGCTTTTTCCTTACCTGTCCTTTTGAAAATGGGGCTCCTAAAACAACCACAGAACGAGCTCTGCTCTGACAGGTATTGTTGAGTTGCGTCCGCAGAAGACGACGTAGTGGCCCTCTCAAAGACATTTTAAAATCGTATTTAATTTATCCGTTAACTTCAAAAGAATTGATAGAAACCGTTTAACGACCAAGGCTGAGAGTCAAAAGTTGATTCAAAAGCTCTTCTATAGGATCCCGCTCTGACGATGGTGACGCTCTGACGTGAGGGCACGCCGGGGGATGGTCTTATGCTCCTTTGATCTCATTAACGTTCATGAGGGGATGAATGGCCGTCAGGATTAAGAGCACGATCAACTGAAATTTGTAACCCCTAATTTGTCTTTTAGGAAATATTTTAACCCCATATCACATGCAAACAAGTATTACTTCCGCGTCCTTATTCAGAAATCCCGTTACCTCATTAAGGAAGACGCGCGTCAATACTGTATGCCACACCTTCGCACTAGCCAATGAGATGCATCCAATAGATTGGTTTGTTCCGAAGGCGTGTCTTGTGTTTCCAAAATGCACCCATGGGTCCCGCAATTTCTAATGGGGCAGACATTTCCACATACACAGCAAACCGTGGTTGACAAATGTGTTGCTTAACCTGGATGTCTGCCTTCCATAGTCGTGCAAAACATAGCCTATCAGATGTCAGCCATGTTAACATGTAAGTGACCAGCTGACCATAAACGACGTGCCTTACTAGTGGCATTTCTGCCTTCCCCTAAAAATAGTTGGTTGGCTATAGGTATAGCCTAGGGTCCTTGGCTTCTTGAAATATGAATATATTATTAGTGTGAGAGATTTATTATTTTTTATAATTGATGGGATGACTAACTTAGAAAGAATGCATTCTTGACTGGGCTAATGTAGGTTGTGTCACCTGGCAAGCTGTGATTGATGTGAAGAGCTGTTTTAGGGGGTAAAATGAGATAAGGATTTGTGTCTCCAAATACTAGAATATACTGGTTCTTTGTGATATGTGAACCTTCCTTGGACGTAAGAATGGTGACTAGGGGAGCTGGCTCTTCTCACTATGACAGGTTGTTATGATAAACGTATGCCTGGTAACAGAAGAGGCGGGGAACAGCAGGTGCGCCAACGGATAGGCTGAGTAAGTCTAAACCACGCTCAAGTCTCTACTCTGATTGGCCAGCAGAGAGGTGGGAAACTCTCTCTGTCAGAGTATTTGAGCAAGAACCTGGAACAATGGATTTCAAAGAGCCCGTATATACGAAACATCATATTTACCATTGAAGGTTTTATATTAATTAAAATACTAGTATATCTTAGAAGTCGTGTTGACCTCTTTTGTTCCTAATGCCAGATTTGAATTGACGCAACTTTGACATTAGCATAGAATAGAATAACTAAAAAAAAATCCCTAAAGGGAACTTATTTTTGGAGTGGTTCATAAGATGAATAAATAACACAAACATAGTAGCTAGGTTAACATAAAAACAAACTAAAACTAACGAAGTTATTGTGCCGCTCTCCATGGTGATGGCTGGCGGGTGTCTCTGTTCTTTGATGAGGAGATCTACTAGTCTGCCCTCTAGACTAGCACAGGCATTGGCTAGCTGTTATATTGAAGAATAGAATTTAACAGAAAGTAGCCCACCAATGACCAAAAGGGTACAAATACAGTGGTTTTTGTCTGTTCTTCTGTATTGTTCAACTGTTTTTGAGCAAAAACAAAACTGGTATGAGGCCAAGGTACCGTACTATAATAAGCAGGGTTCTTTTGGTCCAGTAAATACACTTCTGTCGACCCCAAGCGTTGAAAAATAAAATATTAACACTCTTTAAAAGAAAAATAAATAAAACATATCCCATAATGCATTGCGAATAACACAGATCCTTTTAGCGGCAGAACGTAGCTAGCAAATTAGCTATTGAAGACAGATAAAATATTGTTCATTAAGGTTATACAAGGTTACAGTGTGTATACGCCGTCCGGTATCAGGTATGTACGTCCCACTCTTTTAGCAAAAGTTTATAACGTTAGCATAGCTAGCCAGTTAGCAACATTAGTTAGCTAGCTATTTAGCTTGCGTGGTAGCTTGAGTAGCTAGCTAACGGTGGCTAACAGGAAGTCTGTACTAGAAAGAGCTTATTCTATTAAATTCAATTAAATAGGCAGCCAGCTGGCCTACAAGATTGAACTTCATTGGTGTAATGTTTAAAGTCAATTGTAGGTTATGTAGGCTAACCAAACACCTAGCTTAACTGTTAACTAAGTTAGCCTAGCTAGCTATCTCCGCAGGCCAGAATGTATCCGTGGGTTCCCCGATGCCATGGTAATCCTTGAACCCGTACGTCCCTGATTGTTCCTCCAGGTCACTGCACCTCCCAAGATGTCGTACCCCCCTCACCTGAACCGCCTCCCCCAGTTGCCCCCCGGGATTTGCCCTCCCCAGTTCGCGGGGTTCCCCCAGGGAGTCCCAGCAGGTGAGATACATTTTAGTCTTGAGTGATCAAACTGGACGTTATCAGAGGCCTATGCTACCAGAACCCTTTTCAGTTTTCTAATGATCTATTGCTATGTTGATAAAGGCAACTCACGTGCATTGATCTGATCTTCTGTAATATACCATTGCAATGCTTAAAGGCCAGATCAATGCCAGTGGGCTGGACAGACCATAATATTCTTACTATAACGATGAACACCAAGGTTCCAAAGAAACCCCCAAGGATTGTGGTCAAGATAAATTGTACATTTTTTTTAATCATGAGCAATTTCTAAATGATTTGGCTGCTGTACCCAGGGAGCTGATTCATCTAGAGGATTATTTAAATCACCCTACAGAATGCTTTATTGATTTGCTCACTGGGGTAATGGACCATCATGCCCTAGTAGTCCCGTGTAGTAGTCCCGTGTAGTAGTCCCGTGTAGTAGTCCCGTGTAGTAGTCGCGTGTAGCTCAGTTGGTAGAGCATGGCACTTGCAACGCCAGGGTTGTCGGTTCGATTCCCACAGGGGACCAGTATGAAAATGTATGCACTCACTAACTGTAAGTCGCTCTGGATAAGAGCGTCTGCGAAAATGACTTAAATGTAAATGTAGTAAGAAAGAGTACAGTTGGGGCTCATCCATCTCCATGGATTGATGATGAACTGGGTGAGGTGTTTTGTCAAAGAAATATGGCAAAAGGTCTTAGCAGTCAAATCTAAACTAAAAACACAACACAAAATTATATATTATGCAGTTAAATTAAATCGTAAGGAGAAAAAAAAACGTTATTTTACAAAAATGCTTTTATTGATTGTGAAAATGATTTACAAAAGGTGTGAAATACAGTTAAGGGCTTACTTGGTACATCTGGTTCGATTCCAGGCTGTATCACAACCGGCCGTGATTGGGAGTCCCATAGGGCGGCGCACAATTGGCCCAGCGTCGTCCGGGTTTGGCCGGTGTAGGCCGTCATTGTAAATAAGAATTTGTTCTTAACTGACTTGCCTAGTTAAATAAAGGTAAAAAATAAAAAATAAAAGACTAAAAAAAGAAGGACGGCTAAATATTTACCAGGAACGATTCTTAAGCAAACAACCGAATCATTATTTGGGAGTCCGGTGAACTACTGATCTGTGGTCTGTGGAAATACATCAGCAAGTGACATTAGGAGGCTGCAAATTGAACAGAACAAAGCAGCAAGGATTGTTTTAAGGTGGAGATGTGATTCTTCTGTCGTAGTCATGCACAATGCTCTTGGGAGGTCATCAATCAATCAAGATGTACACCATCAATCATAATGTACACCATTTTAAAACAGCCAAACTCCATTCACAACAGTATTCAGTTGGTAAGAGACACATTCAGTCAATACTAGGAATCGACTGTCCACCATCAATGTGTTATACAGACAGACAAGAGAAACAGGCAAAATATCATTTGGATTCCGAGCAATAAAGAAATGGAATAATTTATCTGAGCAAACCAGAAACCTTTCAATACATAAATGCAAGCAATACTTTAGAACCATTTAAAAATATAATAAATGTGAATGTTGTGCAGGACTATGGTAGATGAATTAACCAATCTATCTGTTCAGACTGTCAGAGTATTTATCTGGTCAATATGTCAGAGTATTATATACAGTGAGGGGAAAAAAGTATTTGATCCCCTGCTGATTTTGTACGTTTGCCCACTGATAAAGAAATGATCAGTCTATAATTTGAATGGTAGGTTTATTTGAACAGTGAGAGAGAGAATAACAACAACAAAATCCAGAAAAACGCATGTCAAAAATGTTATAAATTGATTTGCATTTTAATGAGGGAAATAAGTATTTGACCCCTCTGCAAAACATGACTATGAATTAACCAATCTATCTGTTCAGACTGTCAGAGTATTTTTCTGGTCAATATGTCAGAGTATTATGTAAGCTGTTTGTAACAGTGTGTTATATGTGAGCGTGTGATTACATTTACATTTTAGTCATTTAGCAGACGCTCTTATCCAGAGTGACTTACAGGAGCAATTAGGGTTAAGTGCCTTGCTTAAGGGCACATCGACAGATTTTTCACCTAGTCGGCTCGGGGATTAGAACCAGCGACCTTTCGGTTACTGGCCAACGTCTTACTGCAGATTCCTCTGATGTGTCTCTGTGTCTTCTTCGAGGTACACCCATGATTCCAGTCCACATGGGGATCATGACCTCTGCACCCACTGTAAGCCTCAACTTCTGTTGTTACACACACACACACACACACACACACACACACACACACACACACACATGTAAATCTGGCTGGGCTGGCAGACAACTCCACTCTCCTAATGTGTATTATTGTATTGCAGGTCCTGGTTCCTACCACAGTGTCTATGGTCCAGAAGCCTCCTGCTCCGAGGAAGGAGCTGAACCCAGTCAGCGCCAAGGAGAACCAGGAGGGTGGCAGTGGAGGTCCCACCACCACAGTGTTCGTGGGGAACATCTCAGAGAAGGCTTCAGACATGTTGGTCAGACAGTTGTTGGCGGTGAGCACTGAGAGCAGGACATGGAAACAGGGGGACGTAACCTTCTGTTTGTGTTTTTATTTATATAAATATAATATGCCATTTAGCAGACGCTTTTATCCAAAGCGACTTACAGTCGTGCGTGCATACATTTTTGTGTATGGGTGGTCCCGGGGATCGAACCCACTACCTTGGCGTTACAAGCGCCGTGCTCTACCAGCTGAGCTACAGAGGACGTGATCTGGGTCCTCTTGAGGCTTTTTCTCGCCACTGCACTTCTGCTTGGTCCTTTCTAGGCCCGAGTTACTGTAGAGCACTTTGTGACAACCGTTTATGTCAAAAGGGCTTTTATAAAATAGGGTTGTCCACAATACCAGTATTGAGATACCACAGTACTAGGTTTTTTCATGGCACACAAAGAAAGCATGAAGCAGACTAAACTCTATGTTCCTCAGCCAATCTTTGTGAAACTCGGCGCGGTTCGCTTACATTTTTTTGTGCAGTGTGAACACTAAAGGATCTCAGACCAATCGAAAGAGCCCCCCTGAAGTGAACCGAACTGAGACCATCTTTCAGAGGTGGTCTAAGTTCGGTTCGGTTGAATTCCGCGATACTGTTCCTTCCATAACCCCTCACATTGGTGGCACAAAATAGAGAAGAGGGTGTTCGTTGGAAGAAGCGTGTGTTTTTGGATATCGATTAGCGATTGTCAAGGATGGACAGAAATGCCAAAATATGTGTGGAGTTTTGTACTGACACAATGTTGAGATTTATTTGTTTGCATCAGATTATTTGTTTGCAATATGTGACCAACAGGCTAAGAGAGCTTCATAAACTGTTTATTCCATTGTGGTTTTTGAATAGTGTGAGAAGACAACATTTGGTGAGAATCACAACTTTTGAATAGTGTGAGAAGACAACATTTGGTGAGAATCACAACCATAGGGTACAAAATCAATGCTAGCTCTTAAAGGGGCAGTAGCCTACATTGAGTGTACAATTTTCAATTGCAGCATTATTTAATCTCCAGTTATTCTTCTGCTATTTATTCTGTTTCCAGTAATATTGACATGTTAATATTATCTTCTGATTATAATTATTATGTCTAATCTTTTAACTAAATGCAATCTATTAGCTTCCAAAATGTAAGTTGGTATATCTAGCTGTCGGATAACACGTTCTGATGGAAATGCACTTTGTAAAAACCCAGAGTGCAATGAGTGAGTGTTGGGAGAAAAAAAAATCTTGGTTCCTTTGGTAAACATATCAATGTGAACGCAAAGAGGACTCGGACCGCAAAATAGGTGAAGTGAACTGGCGAAAGAGTTGAGACCACATTCAAAGGAAAAGGCAATGTGAATACAAAGAGAACTGAGTTATTTTTTTAGCTCAAGAGTTCACTTTTTAAAGAAGACCTGAGTTTGGTTCTTTTTAAAGAGGTCTATATGTGAAAACAACCAACCAGGTGTATGTAAAATATTGTGATTTAAAACTTGGGAGAAAACAGATATGACTCTTGAGTGTCAATAGAACGCCGTGTGTTGGCAACATTAGAGCATAAATATAACCCCAATATAACGTTTATAAACCAATTTGATGGATTGATGATGGATCACTGTGACATTGGTCTTTAGTCTCGGATGAATGAGTTCCCTCTGCTTGTCCTTTTCCTCCATCTTGTAGAAATGCGGCCTGGTCCTGAGCTGGAAGCGGGTCCAAGGAGCCTCCGGGAAACTGCAAGGTAAAAACAAAACAGGTACAACACTTCTACTATATTTTACCCTCCTTTGCTTGTTATGTTGTTACCACCGAGTCTATGCTGTTACCACCGAGTCTATGCTGTTACCACCAAGTCTATGCTGTTACCACCAAGTCTATGCTGTTACCACCGAGTCTATGTTGTTACCACCGAGTCTATGTTGTTACCACCAAGTCTATGTTGTTACTACCGAGTCTATGTTGTTACCACCAAGTCTATGCTGTTACCACCAAGTCTATGCTGTTTGTTACCACCAAGTCTATGCTGTTTGTTACCACCAAGTCTATGCTGTTACCACCAAGTCTATGCTGTTACCACCAAGTCTATGTTGTTACCACCGAGTCTATGCTGTTACCACCGAGTCTATGTTGTTACCACCGAGTCTATGTTGTTACCACCAAGTCTATGTTGTTACCACCAAGTCTATGCTGTTACCACCGAGTCTATGCTGTTACCACCGAGTCTATGTTGTTACCACAAGTCTATGCTGTTACCACCGAGTCTATGTTGTTACCACCGAGTCTATGCTGTTACCACCAAGTCTATGTTGTTACCACCGAGTCTATGTTGTTACCACCAAGTCTATGCTGTTACCACCAAAGTCTATGCTGTTACCACCAAGTCTATGTTGTTACTAGGGTTGGGCGTTATCCAGATTTTGATATCATCATACCGTCCTTCTCTGACCCCAGGATTTACGGTATTACTGGTTTAGTACACAAGGGGGCGCCAATTTTTTTTTT